AAAGCATGAATAGATCAGTTTTAATAAAATAATAACTTTATCATGCATATAAGTAAGTTTTAAAATCATAATATTGTCCAAGAAATTGCTAAAATTAATTTTAGCAATTCAGTTCCTTTTATCCATCAATAGCATGCTAGGTTGCATCTTTGCATACTGTTTTATTGTTTTAGCACCGAGCCATAAACTATGCTACAAGTCCAAATTTTTAATTAAAAGACTCCCTCATACATCTAAAATTTAATTTAGAATCATATTATAGCACCCTAAATTGTCAAATTAAAATTAGACAATTTAACTTCCTTCCAGCAGTTAACCGCGCACCGGTTGTTAAATAGCGCACTGTTAATTCCATTAATACAAAGAGGGTATTTTATGCAATACAAGACCTTAATTACATCCTAAATTAATTATTGAAAACCCTATTAAAGTTTTAAAACTGTTCAGAAACCCCAAGAGCCTAAACAGTAGCTGAAAACTTACAGTACGCATCAAAATGGAAAGAGCCTGCTCTAAAAAAAATAGAGTAGGCTCAAACCAACATTGAGCCGGCTCCAAAAACTTTTGGAGCAGGCTCAAAGTGTTTGGAGCCGCCTCTAAAACATTTTGGAGCCGCCTCCAAAAAGGGGGAGCTCACTGTTCCCATCCTTCTTCGTTTCCGATGATCTGCTTCGACCCTGGTCACTTTCTACCCTTCAATTGGTTTCTAAAACTGATCCTAAGGGTCTTATTAATACCAAATAGCATCCCAATGGTCTGGTTCGACAATTGAAATTTATTACAGTGATTTAAAACCTCTACCGATTCCTTATGCGTTAACATACAACTTGATCTTCGATTTGCAGACATAACTACAGGTAATACCAGAACATATACAGATAATCAAAACTGATCTTAACCATCCTATATATATTCCATGACATCCTAATCCCTTGTTTATAACAATACGAATTAAATCATTCATTAAAACAGAACTAATCTGTAAGCTTAAAATAAACCAAACACAAGTCATTCAAGAATTGTTTTAAACAACCATATACATACTGATAATCAACTTGACATATATTTCGCATGCCAGATTAGATTAAAATGCAATTAAAATCCTAGAGACATCTAGGTATGCACAGAACACATGACAAAGGGATAGAGAGAGAATAGAACTTGCCTGTGATTTCAATTATGAAATCTCGGCGTCGTGTCCACTGTTCCGGCAACACGAACCTCTGTAAAGCCTCCTAGTGCTCTGGAATAGTCCACCAAAATCCCTCCTTGGTTCTCTCTGTTCTTCTCTTTGCCACCCATACAGTGTTCTGTTCCTTCTACCCTCCGTTTTTACAGAATTATCTCCCCGTTTTTGTGCTATGAGTTATGAGCGTAAACCCTAGACTACAGCATAATGGTTGTATTTATAGACTTAAATTCTAAAATCCTAATCCTTGTAATAATAGAGACAGAACCCTAATGTTACCCCAAGTCGGCCCATAAAGCAACCAAGATGTATCCATGTCGGTTAAACACACTGTCTTCCTAGAGACCCTAGTTAACTAACGTAATAACCAAAAACTCATTTAACTTATTTATATCAAAATTAATAATTACTAAATTAATCCATTTAAACACACAAGCCAATTAATTTAATTAAAAAAATATACAAGTAAATAAAACAATCTATTTAAATCAACCAATAAAATAAAACCAACAATTAATTAAAATAAAATCAAACAAATAACCAATTTGACACATAAGCACCTAGCCACAAAAACAAATTAAAATTTCACATAAAATAAAATTTAAATTCCAATTTTATCCTTTAAAAAACTAGGGGTATTACACCCTCACTTGCCAATATAAGCTTTGCTACATTATAATGATCTCATGAAGAGGTCCAAGGTGCATTCCCAAGTTGTTCCATTTCTCTAAATAAATTAAATCTCCTAAGCAAGCAGTAATGTATGAAAACTTTAAATGCAATATTTTCGAAATAACTCGCCACTCATACTTGTCGTTGTAAGTTTTGAAACATATGGCATCAATTCGATGAATCACATCATCTATCCAATATTGCAATCTATCTTCAATGTAATAGTATGACAGTTTTGTGTGTGGGGAAGTTTTTAAGAGGACTCCTGTTTAAATACGTTAAAAATATCCGTCTATATAAGTACCCCAATAAATGGTAACCCTTATATTGAAACCCCTATATTAAAAGGTAACCCTTAAACAGGTAACCCCAATAAATGGTAACCATTATATTAAAACCTTTAAATACGTAACCACAATAATGGTATCCCTTCTTTTTTGCAAAGATTGATAGCAATGACACCTTTCCGCAATTCATTACCCAGTCCCACCTTATTTGTATTCTTTAATATTATTCGTCTACTCAATTACTTGTACAGAGTATAAGTGAATATCTTGATGCACTTAAACAATTCAGAATATAAAAACCATTTACTCATCTACTGATGTCCATAAATGTGGTAGAAAGTAATCATTTCCACTTAATGGATGATGTAATTGAAAACAATTTTAAATCTCTTACGGTTGTTGATTGTATTGAAATATGGTATAAGGTGTTTAGCCTTTTTATTGCAGTCTTAATGCATGGTTTGGAGGCATCATCTTCTTATTGAGAGACAAACATCCAAAATCTATCAAACCAATGTCTCGATGTTGCTATTACGTTGTATTTGTCGGTTGGAATGTAGGTATATACACGAAGTTGGAAGAAACAAAAGCACAAATGCAAGAGTTTCCTGATGTTAAGTATTATCATTATGATAGCCATGAAAAGGCTGTTCAAGCTTTAGGTTGATGGAACATGAAGAGGTTGGTCAATTTTATGTAATCTGATCAATATGTACATCAAAACACTAACATTTGCCATAAATTCCTCCATTATTGATCAATTATTAGCTAAATCTACACCACAAGATATTCATAGAAGAATATAACACTTGTATAGGCAAGATCATGTTCTATAAACTTTATTGCACTAAAATTAACTGGCATAATCTTCAACAGTTGATAATAGAAGGGCACTCAGAAGAGAATAAATACATGTAAGAAAGTCGGGGTTATTTCATATGTTCTCCTTGATATATATTCTTAGTTTATCAGAAAGACATAAACAACCCTTGAAGTTGGTGACTGTTTTGGTAAAAGATGGTTGCACAATAAAACAATAAAGGAAATACTAAATTGAGAAAAATGTATAATCTAGAAGTACCCAGATCAGTGTTTGTTTACTAAAAACAAGAGAATCTGTACACGACTTAATTGTGGACATGTGGACTACGGAAATCTAATAGTAGTAAGCCTTTCTATGCAAATTCAAAAACTATACAAGACTTGCTCTAAGAGCCTTGAACTTGTATTGTTTGTTTAGTTGTGTAAAAATAGAGGAAATGGCTAAGAATGAAGTTTAGAACGTCAATGGTTCAATTGCAAACATTGAAGTTAAAATGACCTTAAAACTGTCAAATTTTAAAATGGAAGAAAATGTATCGGAAAATTCAATTTATTTTTGTTATTCGCCCAAATGGCAATGCAATCTATTCAGTTGCAGTATGTAAATGTTAATCCCAAGTATTATTTTTGTAATATTACTCATGAATGAATGTTTGCAAATGACGGGGTAGTTAAAGGGCTTTTATGTCATTTCTCTTCATTAATGCATGTGTATGATGTAATCTACTTTCATTTCATGCTTATACACGATTTTTGAGGCAGGATTGTATTGCATTTAAGCCAGTAAATGAACCAAATGAGTTAGCAACTAAGTCACACAATCCTTCTCAACGGGTGTAGCTCTCATGCTCCGAGCGCGCTCCTGTTCTCATGCTCCGTGCGCCTTCTCATTCAAATTATCACTATTTGTGACTTAATTTTGCCGCTTTCACGCTCCCGCTCTCAAATTTGCTCTTGTTTTCACTTTATGTGACTTAGGTCACCAATGGCTTGGACTCTCAAAAGGCCTTACAACCAGCCCCAGCAGAAAACCGGTCGGTGTATACCGGTATCTCATCAGTAGGCAATTTCAATGTGCAGCTCAAATCGGCCGATGTGTGGCCTGCATACGTCTACCGAAACCTGTAGCTTCACTGCTTCTCCTTCTTTCCTTGTGTTGTCTAGTCCTGGCTCATTCGATGATACTAGGGTGTACTATAATGACTAGTGAGGCAAATGAATCACATCCTAACTATGGAAATGACCGTGTTGCCCTTAGACGACCTTGGGTTCGGTTAAGGACCCGGAAAATGATTCGGAGCCCCGGGTTTGGATCGTTACAGTAAATGCCGCCTATTTAAGGATCAATTGGCTAACTAAATAAATCCACACTACCATTGTGTGATCCCTTACAAATCCCAATTTGTATCCATACTTGGAGACAAGTTCTAACTAACAGAGCTAGAGGTCCCCATTAGAATGGTCGGTATTATAATCACATAGATTGGGGGTTTAGGTTTGAGCTCAAAACGAGCCTAATGCTTCATTCGGTAGGAAGGGAGGTAAGCTTGAACTGTTGGTGGAACACTTATTGATTTGCAACCCTATTAGCCGCCTATACATATCCAATTTCTTTCTTATTTAGATTCAATGTGGACAAAACCTGTCATGTCAATCATAAATTGGGTGCTATTTGAAAACTCAATTCAGCTTAATTTTGAACAAATTAAGCACTTATTTAATTAAGTGTATTTGATAACGTAATTTAAATATTACTGAAAATGGTAAGCACCAAATGATAAGAATATCACTTATCACTATATACTTACAATTGAAAAAAAAATATATATATATATATATATATTTTTTTTTTTTTAACTACCACTTAAAACTTATAGTACTTAAAATCAGCTTTTAAAATTTTCAGTATTTTATTTTTAGTTTTATCAAAATGCACCTAACATTAGCAATTCTAATTTTTGTATTATTTCGAATTGGGCGTTTCCTAATCTTTTATTTATACAAAGAAAGAAATACGTATCAAAGGTATATTTAAAAGAAAATACAAAAGTGCTAGGGAAAGCGAGGCGCGAACCGTGGTATTTTATTAAGAATCAACAGTGAAATCTATAATTGTATGAACATTGAACAATCTTCGTCGGAGTTGTAGCGGTCGATCGTCAAAGTAACTCCATTAGGTCACAAAAATCTGGATTTCCCTATTTACATTTTAAATATTTATATGTTTATGTATATTTATATGTATATTTTTTGAGTAGTTTGAAACCCTATACTGCTCTCTCTATCCCCCTTGCATTAGAATGGCGCACGGGGGCTACAACAAGCGCGGGGTGGCCGGACGCAAGCCGGCGAGTAGTCGGCGGTCCAAAGCACAACTTGGTGTCGACAAGAAGGCCAAGCCTAAGTCCGTGTCTATCAAGAACCAGATTCGATCCATCGAACGTATGCTCCGAAAGGTATTTATGCTCTTATCACTTCACTCTTCTTCGTATAAGTAGTGTGTATGCGCTGTTCTTTTCTCAAAGCTAGGTTTTGTTATAATTGAATGTGTATTCAGTTTGATTCACGTGTTACAAAACGAAGAGACCATATATGAATATCTATAAACTTCATATGATTCCCAACATCAGAATAATAATTGGTTGGGCAAATAAGGATCAATAGCAGCAGTATAATTTGTAAAAATTATTATATATTCGGATATTGGTTAGCAATATTACTTGTAGGAAATTTCAACCATCAGTGATTGAATTTGCTGACTGGCTAGTTTACCAAATATGGATTTGGAAAGGTTGCTAATATCAAATTGGAATTTGGTATGGACCCAAAATTTTTGCTCATTCATTTAATAATTAGTTGAAAATGGATGGGGCTCCTTCGATTGGTGTCATTAAGGTCTTAATGGTGTTTTGAATCTACAGCCTCTCTTGATGCTTAACTTCTAGATTAATCCCTTTTACCAGAATTTGATGTTTTTCAGTAATTTATAGGTTATGTGAAAGTACTATTCCTTGTGGAGCATGGGGTTACAATTACATTCTAACTTAATTATTTATTCAAGGATCTTCCTCCTGAAGTCAGAGAAGCTCAAGAAAAGAAGTTAGAAGGACTCAAGAAACAACAAGAGATTCACGTTCAACTGGCTGTGGAGCGTAAAATTTTTTTGCGTAACCGGAAGATTAAGTTTTTTGGTAAATAAAAATTTATTCTTTGTTACTTACTTTTTTTTGATAAGTTTATTCTTTGTTACTTACCGGGAAAAAAATTCATTCTTTCTTGGTTTATGAAGTTTATATTTGATTGCAAAATATTATATACATTGTAGTATACAACGGGCATGATTGTGATGCTTGAGTTGTGCTTGACTATTGGAACTCCATCTGCTTTGTTTAGAGAGAAGAAAAATTGAACGGAGAATAAGACGATTAGAGAAACTGCAACGTGCTTCAACTGGTCAGGTCCAAGAGGCAGAGACTGCCGAGCAGCTTTCTAAATTGAAAGAAGACCTTGAATACGTCAGGGTAAGCTACATATTGACTACTTCCTACCCTTTGTTCTTTTTCTAAAAATAGTTCATGTTAGTTGATCTTTGATATGAATTGTTTCCTGTTTTGACATCTTAGTGCAGTCTCATTAACTTAGTTAGCAGTTGTGTAGTTTTTCAAGAAGCTTCACTTGATATTGTGACGCACAAAACTCAGAAATAATTTGATTCATGATCAACAACTCAAAAATCTAACTCATCAAATACATTTCTTCCTCATAGTTGATAAATTTCATTTTCGTTATATTGCATTAATTTGCAGAGTTGAAGTTGATATTTTATTTGAACTGCAGTTCTTTCCCAAGACCGAGAAATATGTATCTTTATTTATGGGAGGTGATGATGTGGACATAGTTGATAGGAGAAATAGATTAAGGAAGCAGATCAAGGCTAATATAATTGCTGCTGCAGCTAGTGGCAAGGATTTGGAAGGTATTGTCTTTTTACTACTTTTACAAGTATTTTGTCACGATATGTTTGTAGAGTTGACTTGTACTTTTTGATAAGCTGACATGAATTTGGGGTGTCATGTTCCATTATTGATACTAAATGTTGTATTAAGTATAAAACTTTTAAGCGGACTGATTAGTACATATTTGTGTTTGTAAATAATGTGGGTTATCCTCGAGAAACTCTGTTCTTTTTCTAAATAGTTGTTTGCTATCATAAGCTCATACATTACTATGAAATCTAGGATAGCCTTCCTAAAATCATTCCTATACCCAAATTCTCTTGTCTACCTTACACCACCATGTCATACAAAGAAATGCCAGGCCTTGACCAATGCACCGTGGTGGGGATTGTAACTTTCCATGAATTTTGGGACCTTTTACTTTTTCTTTTCTTTTTTTAAGCACGTGGGAGTTAACGGAAGTCTATGCTAGCCTTCATAGCATCATTCTTATCTCCAAATCCATAGCCAACATTCACCATCTCACACCTTTTCCTACATGACTATTAAATTCTCCGCATACAAATAATCTCTCCAATTATGGGATCCCTTGAATTAATTCATCCATATGCTCCCAAAATTGTGCTTTAATGTTTTCATTTTCTCTCTGTATAAGTTTTTATTAATGTTGTCCTATCTTTTATCTCGTAATTGTTAACAATTTCTCTTTAAAATTCTTATCAACTATTATTTCTACTCCTGCTCTACATCGAAATTTTTTTTCCTATTTTTCTATTTCTCGTACAGAGTTGATATCCAGTATTTTCAATTTTCTTAGACGTTTCCCTATCAACTTAGATTCTTGTAAACATGTTGTATCAGCGTTCCTTCTAATCATTGTCTGCAAGACTACAACTCCAATCCATGTAACCTAGCCTAATATGTTGAACTAATTGTTTTTCCCTCACTTGTCCAAAATAACCCTTTGCTGACATTTCATCGTGCTTGGTTGCTGATGTGGCATCCCTTCCTATTTTTTGAAGCATATGGATGTTAATACTTTCTTAGGAGGGAACTCCCTGGTATCTGCTCGAATAATTCATGGTCATATTGGCCTAACAAAGGTTTTAGTTTGTTTCTTAGCTTCCTAATGCAATCCTTCTTTCTTGGAATTGGAGCCAACTATAAAATTTAATTAACTGTTGCACAAATAATATTTTTTTTCTATTTGGAACTCGCAAGCCCACTTTAAGAAACACAAATAATTCTATAATTTGTATTCATATCGGATAAAGATACTTCTTGACATTCATCAATATACGTAAGATACTTCTCAACACTCGCCAATATGTGTATGATACTTCCTAAACCTATGGAAAAAAAAAAAAAAGGGTAGCCAAGTGCATGAGGCTCCCACCATTGCAGGGTCTGAGAAGGGTTAGATATACACAGCCTTACCTCTGCATGTAGAGAGGCTGTTTCCTGTTTCGAATCTGTTACCTCGCAATGGAGCAATCTTACCATAACGCCAAGGCCCGCCCTCTTCCTAAAGCTATGTATAATTTGAAAATATTTTCTTCTTTTTAAGATTTTGGAACACATATCTGATACTTTTCAGGTTCTCATTTTTACTTGTCTTGATCATTAAAATGTAATTTTTTAAAGTATAATACCATAGTATAACTGTAAAGGAAAAGCTCCAAATGATTTAACTTTCTTAAAGAAAGTAAAATTGAAATACAATGATAATATATCTTGTTTAATTTAATCTACAGTTTATGTCCATGCAATATAACTCTTACGTTTGGTTGTCATAATTTTTTTATAAGAAAATTTTTAGTCGTAATCTATATTATGACAAACAATTATTTTTTTCAATTAAACATGGATACATATATTTTATATTTTAAACACATATATTTAAAATGTTAGTCATAACATGTGTCCTTGCTTTATCCGGCCTATTTTTTTGGAATTTTTTATACCCTTGTGTTTCGTATTTTGTCTCCATGTTCATGCCTCATAGGTAGAGAGAGAGATTTTGGATACAATTTCATACAACACCCAAACATATTAAAATTTAGTTTGAAAATTGATTTTATTGTTGCATTAGGTAAAAAAGAAAAGAATTTTTTTTGTGAATTTAGGGCTTTAATAAACGGAGAAAAATTTGGAGGCTTTATAAATAAGGAAATGCTTGAAGCTGACTGGCCTTTAAAGGTGTTTGGTAGTAGGAAATTCAGGGAAATCACTGCTAGAATATTTGGACAGCAGTTATTTAAAGTTTTGGAGTTGGGTGGCCAAAAGAAAGGATTATTTATTAAAATGATAGGTGGGGTTGATTAGAGATTTGATAGAGCAACAGATGAGACTAGTTTTGTGCTGTTCTGAAGCTGCGAACAGTAATTTAGCTTATTTTAAGTTGAAAATATGGTTCGTAGCATCCAGTGATCCTTTGCTCCGGCCACTGTGGCATGTGTCGCCCAGGGCATGAGGTGCATGATGACTTGATGTCATCCTCACCTTCCTCTGGCTTTTCACTGCTAGTTTGTTCAAGGATCCAAACTCAATGATGGCAGCTAAATATGAGGGTTGCTCTCGTTGCAGGACTTAATTTAACACCTCAAGGCTAGAGCTGACAACAACCATGCACCACAAATAAAGAGTTTTGGTTGATTAGGATTTATAGAGGAATGGAAGGGGGCGCGTTTTTGGTATGTTTTGAAGGTAAACAATAGCCTGTGAACATTAACTTAGGGGATGTTATGAATTTGAGTAACAAAAAGTTAAGTCTTTGATGGAAGGACAGATTGGGATCCTCTGCTGTAAGAGGATCCTGCTGCACCAATGCTGTAGTGGAAACGACCTTGTTTTTGTGTGTTTAACAATTAATTTTTTTTGGATAAGTATTCACTGAAGAGCGTCCAAAAGGGGGACGTGGCCCAAACTACATAAAAATTAAGGGCTGCGCACAGTTCGGTTCGGTACGGTTCTCGGCTAAATCGGAACCAAACCAATCCCGCAGTTCCTGAAAAATTGGAATTGGAAACGGAACCGTTGGACCTTGGAACCAGTGTAAAAGGTCCGGTTCTGAACCACAGTTCTGTAAGTTGAAGAACTTCCTAAAAAAATAATGTTATAAGACACTATTATATGTCTCCCCAAGCCATTGGTGGTCTGGTAGTACCTTATTGTTAATATTAGAATATAACATTGATGCAAAAATGAGAGTAGAAATATTAGAATATATAACATTGAATGAAAGCTATTGGGTTGTACCTTACTGATAAGAAGCACTGCTAATATTAGAATATAACATTAAATGCATACAATTTTTCATAATGAGTCTCCCTTAGGCTCACACTTATTTTTCATATATACACTATTTATATAGTTTACAGTTTGGTTTGGTTCTAATGGACCTAGAAATGGAACCAAACCATAAACGAAGTGTTCTTTATTTTTGGAACTGGAACTAGAACCGAAACCAAACCATAGAAGAATCGAACCGACGGTTCAGTTCATACCGGTTTACCGTTTCCAACCGTTTTTTGTGCACCCCTAAAAATTATATCTTCAAACTGTCCACAAAAGACAAAAAGAATCTCCATAGATTTACAATTGAAACCCTGAACCCAAAAGAATAAAGGACTATGCGCAGAATATCTGAACACCCGCCAAAGTGACTTCACCCCATCAAAGGATCTCCTGTTCCTCTCCTTCCAGAGAGCCCACCACAAGCAAAGGGGGGCTATCCCCCATGCGTCTCTGACTTGGGGTCGCACTCGGCAATCACCTCAAGTGGCAATCAAGCTCACCGCAGACTTAGGCATGACCCACTGGATCCCAAAAATGGCACAAAGCATATCCCAGCCTCTCTAGCTCTGGGGCAATGAAGGAGAAGATGATCAACAGACTCCTTGGATTGCTTACACGTACAAACATCAATTGACAGTAATCTGACGTCTCCGCCTCAGATTGTCAATGGTCAAAAACCTCCCCAAAGCCGGTGACCACCCAAAAAAGCCACCTTCTGGGGGGCTCGCAAGTGCCAAATACCTTTCCACGGAAAGGATATCCCCTGAAAATCCGTCAAACGGAAGTAAAATGAGCGGATCTCGAATCTCCCTTGGCTCGTACCTGTCCAAAGCAACTCATTTGTGGTCACACATTCCACTTCGCCCTTCAGATCAAGGCGAGGAAGGCTCGCAACTTCAAGGAACGTCAGTTTTTGGCCTTCTAAAGCTCTCATGGAAATCAAAAAAGAAACAAATCAAAGAAAATAGGAAGAAAATAAAGAAAGAGAGAGAATCTCAGAGGACCCCGGAGTAGAAGACTCCGGTGTCTGAGAGAAGGAAAACAGGCAAACGGCTAGAGAGACGAGAGCGTCATTTTTTCCTCCCAAAAACACCATACAATTTCTGCATGCTTAAAGATGTTGGGAAAATAGATGAAATGTACCAGATGATTATTTTCTGAGTGACTTTCCTAATTGTTGCCTGAACCTACTCTCTGATTTATGTATAGGGATTTAGTGTGGATGATCTTGTGCTCTTTTTGCATTACCTAATTTACTTGTGTCATGATTTATTCTTGTTTTTGTTAATAATCATGCTAGCTTGCTGTTTTAATAGAATTCATGCTTTATTTTTGGACTTCCTATAATAGAGACTGGGAGTGAGGATGATGGAATTTTGGATCTGAGTGACGATGATTTCTTCTTAACTGGAAGTTCAAGTGATGAAGCTGATGCAGATGATGAATGGACAGATAAAAGTACAAGGTATATTTTATAACTGTGAAAGGAGATGCAAATTTTTATTTTGATTGATAGTGCTAAAATTTTCTAGTTCTGTGGGCTGCATTTGGGCCACTTTCTGGTCTTTTACCAATGAAATAACACAGTTGCACAGAAAATTCCGGATCAATGTTTAATTTTTGTTACTCTGTATCTTTCTGATGAGTTGGTGCGGGGTTGATATCTTTTCGAAGACACCAAGTCTATAACAAGTTGCCTTCATGGCAAATTACTGCACATATTTTTTGTTTGTTATTGATAACTATAATTAATAAAATAGCAAATTACAACACAGATTGAATTGAACGCATTTGATGCATCTCTGTTGGAATGTTTGTATTATAGTTTTCACTTCCCCTTAATCTTGCATTTGCATTGCTGTTTTGTGTGGAAAACTAGAGTTGCATCTTAGATTTTTACCATGTACTTTACAGAGAACAAGCCTCTAGTGCTTCCGGTAAAGCAGCATCTGGCATGTCCAGTGATGAAAGAAATCAGGTATTTTGTTGAATTTGGTATGTTACTGTTATAAAATTGATGTGTAAAGCTGTTAACATTCTCTGCATCCTTTTTTCTCTGCAATATTATAGAGGCAGATTTCTGCTCGAGCTCTGATGCCACCTCCTCGGCCATCAAACAATTCGTTTCCAAGGTCACTTGGTGTTAAATCAAGGTTTGGAGGTTCTTCAAGCAAAAAATCATCCTTTAAGAGGGTTGAAATGGCCACATCTAGCAATACATCGAATAACATGAGTGGATCATCCTTCAGAAACAGGGCATCTTCAGATTCACGGACGGGCCAGAGTAGTAATCTGAGTTCCAACTCTGATGCTCGGAAACCCAGAAGGAGGAGGAGGCCTAAGAAGAAAAGGCAACAGGTGCAATATTTGTGACTGAAATGTGTCATCTCCTTTCTATTATCATTTTCGTTATTACAGTACTACCATGTCGTCTCTTAAGGATTTGGCAGAGCATGACCTCTCTTAGTGTTAATGTTGCCTAATTGACTTCAGTAATCTTTTAACATGTAAATGACTGTTGTTATTTCTAGTGCTTTCTTGTCCTTGGTATCTACTGTTTGTTACTTGTTTTAACCAGACAACGACCCTTTCAAATGAATCATAATAAGTCAGTTGCTTTGGAGAGTTACGCTGTGCTTGTGGTTTTGAATGATTTATGAGTTGATTCCTTGACTTTAGAGTGTGTGAATAGGTCAATCTGTTCTTATGGTTGATTCTAAACTAAAGCAATTACCAAATTCAGATTTGTGTCCCGTTTATCAATCAATCATGCAAACCCAAAATAAATAAGATAAGAGAGAGCAAGAGAAATGAAATAACCAGATCTTTTAGGTGCATAACCCAACGGAGAAAAGTCATGGGACCTTCTCCTCTCTGGAGGAATTGATTATCTGGACCAATCCACTATCTGAAGAGAAAGTACAACCAAGTACACTTGTTCCATCTTACACTCGGTTAGCTTGCCTGGATTCAGTTGTTAGTGCTTTGAGTTCAGTTGCTTTCAACCTTCAGTCTTATGCCTGAGTCTCCCAAGTCTGGCCGTTGATCTGTCAACGAATTGCCTTCCTGATAACTCTCATTCTTCTTCAGTGATTGTCACCCTAGCCAACCTTTGATTCTTTAAAAGTAGATTATGAAGATGATGAAGGTTGATCAAAATCTTATATCCATTGATATTCCATGTAATTGATCCAAAAATGCTGTTAAATGTGGTAAAAGTTGTTGTTTTTTTTTTTTTTTTTTTTTTTTTTTTTTTTTTTTTTTTTAGTTATCTTATTTATTAGACGCACTTGTTAGCACTTGTGACTAACCAATTAGGGTAAAAATACATTCGCCTTCATTTTTTTTGTATTTTTGTAAAGGTTAAACCACTTGAGTTTGAGTGAGGAAGAGCAGTTTGAAGGAGCTAAAAAGACAAAAAGTTGGTTAAGAAGGATGTGGATTGAGGTGTTAAGAGAAAACATGATGGCTTATGGTTTAACAAAAGGGGTGGCTTTTAATCCATGCTATATGGACGGGGATTTTCAGGGTGGACTCCAGGTAGGTAAAATATAGGGGTTTTTTTTGACATGAGAGCTCATTTAAGCTTTAGTAACTTACTTGGTCGTGATCTAGGGTCTTTTTATTTTCCCATTTGTGCATCTGTCAAATAGGCAGGGATTTATTCTCTCTCCCCCTCTTCCCCTCATTTTTGCATTTGTCAAATTTGATTAACACTAATCACATCATCCATGCTATCAGTCAAATTGAAGGAATAAGATTTAGTATTATTCTTAAGAGAAATGAGCTCTACTATCCTTTCTTACTCAGTACATTGCATATAACTTGGTACTAATTAGGAGAAACGATGGAGAAATTGCAAGGAAGGAAGAACTGGAAATACAAGAATTTTTGTGATGGTAGAGCTATCAACCACTTAAATTTTAAAATTCAGTAGGCTATAATTGGTTCAGCGCTATGCAGTGAAAATTCTACACCAATGGGTTACAATGGTATGGTCTAGCTTGGAAGTGCTGCAAGAACAATGGCGAAGCCAAACATTAAATTGGTCTTGATAGTGAGAAAATATGTATAAGCCCATGAAATAGGTTTTCTTTTCTGTCTTTTCCATTTCATTTATATTGTAATTACTAATGACACACTACTTCTAAACCAACCACAACATTGCTTGCCCTATCTAAAACCACTGCAAACACCCTTCTCTTCCTTTCATTTTTTGTTAGGGCTTGCTGAATTGAGTTCATTATTTATCTTTGGGATGGTCCTGGAAATGTGATTTGTTTCTTGATTCACTCCAGTGCTCTATTATTCATATTCTTGTTTTTGTAGTTTTATTGAACTATTAATTGATTTTTGGACTAGTAATTGCACGTCTGGTGGTTTATTATCTCAAGTTTCTAGTGTACTTCAACTCATTTATCTCTTTTCTTTGTCAACAGGCATGAATTGATTGGACTGCTGATGTAAACTTTATTGCCAAGTGAAGAAGCTCATATAATGTTTGTGCAAAATTCTCACAGCATACTTTTTGACCCATCGACTTGTTCCTTTTCCTTTTCTTTAGACAGTCAGGAATCTGTACCTGTGATTCTTTGTTTTGATCAGTTAAACACCATGTCTACTGCATTCAAGTTAGTTGTTTGAAAATTCAATTTCCTTAGTAATTAATTGTATTATGGCCATTCTCCGTTGCACTATTAAAAAATTTATTCGAGGAAAGCTGTTTTGTTTGTTTATTTGCCTTTCCCCACCTTTTTCCCTTGATGTTTGGTGGATGGTTTAAGAAAATCTTGGATGGAACATTTAGGTTGGTTTACGCCTTTCAGTTTCATCATGTTTGGTTAATACCATATAGCCAGCAAGGCAATTGGCAGAACTTGATGATCATGAGAACGTTAATGCTTCAGATCCCCAATTTTAGGTAGGGATGGCGGAATACCCTGCCCCGTCGGGTATTCGCCCCGTTTAGAACGGTTATGAGGGTGGTTAAATGGTTTGGGGCGGGGCAGGAATGAGATTAGGATTGAAAACCTGCATGATTATGGGCGAGGATGGGGAATGGTCCCCTCGCCCCGCCCCGTCCCGTTTATAGTAATAAATTATAATTTTGTGTTTATACGTTATTTTATATTCAATAATAGGAGGTATATTTTTACAAATTCTAATTAATTTTATTTTAATCACTAAATATCCTTTTGTATTATTGTTATTTTAGAACTTTTATGTATTATTTTGTTGTTCTTACAATAATATTAAGTTTAGAATTCAACTGAGAAGTTAAATTTTGTTTTAGAAAAAAGAATTCTTATCATTACAAAAGTATTCTGCAAAATCCATCCGCACCTCACCCCAGTCTCGTCCCGTCTTGTTTAATAAACAGTTTTGGAGCGGGAATGGGGGTAGCTAAATGGGGATGGGGATGAGGAAGGCATTCTCCACCCCTACCCGTCCCGTTGCCTTCCCTAATTTCAGGGTTGCAAATTGTTGGATTTTTTTCTATCGCGTTGTTGAGGGTTTGAATTCAACAATGTAGAAGCGGAAGGGCAGCAACAGGAAGTTTTTTGCAAGCATAGGCAAGACACAACGTCATAATTATTAAGGGCGTGCTCTAACACTGTGCCCACCATGCCAAAAGAGAGAGAAACCCATCCCTCTCTTTCCCTTTTTTTTTTGTTTCCGGCCTAGGATAATAGGCTTATAATGGTAAAAAGGCAATTAAAGTTACCCAAGTAATTTGCCTGTAGTAGGTACATGGTGTTTGAATATTTCCTGAACTAATGTAGGTCTTGGTTGGTACGAATGTTTTCATGGCTTTGGTTCTTGCATTGTGAGGTATTGTTAACCCTGGACTCCGTACATCTATCCATATGAGCATCAAATGGATGGGGACTCAGCCATCAAATGTTGCTACTCATTAGGCCAAGTGTGCCAAAATATTTTGATTCTTTTACATTATGAAATATAAAAAATTATAACTGCTACATTTTTTGGTATCATTAGTAAAATTAATGGTTACAGCCATGCTGAACAATGGAAATGATGGATTAAAGTTGGTTGTAATTAAGACAATGTCTTTTGGATGGACAATATGCTTTTTACCGAATAGATATACAACAGCATTCAAATCTATACGGTGATCGGCTAGTATATTAAAAAGAAATTCTTAAACTTTATCGTCTTGCCCTCCGTTCTTTTGTCTTTTCCTTTGTCCTTGATTTTAATGTTAGGTCTATAAGGACTAGGTTGACATGTTTCGTTATGTGATTTTAATTTATATTTAGTGAGTGCAAGTTGTCTATTGAGAGTTTAGTGAAAAGTAGTCATCATGATAAAGATGGCCTTCAACAAAGGATAAATCCGTCAACTTTCACACCCAGAGGGTAAAAAGGTAAGTTCACACCAATACACTCCACCACCATAGATCATGCAAACATGTTTATTATTTTAAGTTTCAAAGGTTTTTAAAATTTTTTGAAATTAAAAACATGATTTTTGCATATTTTTAGTAGCACTCGCTGATCCATCGTCACATTGGACTTTGCACGATTTGTAGAATTTTTTATCTCCATCCATCGTAATCAAGTGGTATATCGACTAAAACGTATTCAATAGTTATTATTTGGGTTAAGTGCAAGAAATTATAAAGTGCAAAAAATCTCTTACTGTTTTTTTTTTGTGCAAAATTACTCCTACCAATTTTTTTTGGGGTGCAAATTGCCCTATAATTAGCCATTTTGACCAAAAAAATTTTTATAAAAATTTCAAAATGCCTTCCTAGTCCGGTGAAAATCATCGCCAGCGAACAAAATTTCCAGCAAAGCCATCGCGGTCGTCCTACACCCCCTCATCCTCCGCCGCCGCCCGTCCCTTATCAATGAACCCACTTCTACTAACTCAACAATGAACCAAAAAGGAAGAGAGGGGATCTGTTAAGCATGTAGATCCAAAGGTATAAGAACAATTAGAAGGCACATGAACATATTTAAGCTAATTTCTCCATCTCTTCTAAACTCTCATCAGTATTAAGCAAAGATTCAGTTATTTCTTCCCAATCATCATTCTTATCACTGCCATTATATGAAACTGAGATATTTTTAATCAACATTTCCAGGAATTTGATCTCAATGTATTTTTTTTTTAACTTCAATAACACAATAAATATATATGCCTCTATATATATATATATATATATATATATAGTCAAGTGTAGAAAACACTCCCTAAAGTATGCTTACGGTGCACATCACACTCCTAAGTTTCAATTGGGTGCGAATAAGTCCTAACAAATTTAAACCCTACGTTGACTAAAATACTACTGACTCATTTTATAAAATATATAAAAATAAATAATTTTGTAAAATGATTGAAAAGGACCCTATTGGAGAATGCCCCTCTCCTGTAAAAAAACATCCCTAAAGTTTTAATCTGGTGCAAATAGGTTCATTTGATAAATTTGAACCCTAAGTTGACTAAATTACCATTACTGAATCATTTTATAAAATATATAAAAATAAATAATCTTATAAAATGACCGAAAATGACGTAATTGGAGGGCTTCGACAATGAAAGATAAAAATAGAAAATAAAAATAAAAGAATAAAAGAAAAGTAAAGTTCAAAATAAAAATAAAAAACAAAAATAAAGTGCAAACTTAATAAAACAAATTTTTTCCAAACTCTGAAAATCAGTGCACACTGATATTGGATTTTTATTATTATTATTATTTTTAACAGTGTTGGTACGAAAAATAAAAAATAAAGAAAAAAAAATTAGTAGAAAATAGTAAACTGAATCTCAAAAAATTTCAAATTCTTATTCTACAAATTCTCAAAGTTATTAAAAAAAAAATGTTTAGAGATATATATAAAGAAAGAAGTTTCAAATATATATACATATATATATAAGGTAATGTGCACATAACACCCATATACTATGATATTATTAGCATATATACTCTCTTGGGCGTTTCGGAAGAGTAAAAAGGGCAATAAGGGTATTATAGCATTAATTTATGTCAGATGGGATAATTTTGCATAATATGAAAAGATTAGGGATGTTTTTTTGTATACTTTTTGTGATACCACCTAATTTCGGAAACATGAGTTGATCAAGTCCACGCTCACAAAACCAGGGGATATCAAAACAATTAATATTTAGTAAACACAGAATACAAAGATGAATAATAAAGAATAAATAAACCGCTGAAGAACTAATAAATATTAATTCCATTAAATAAAAATCCTCCAAACATTACAACTCGAGAATCCCATAAATTAAGGACTCCTTAACCAATAACAATTATACATAAATTCATAAATAAAACTAAAGTCAAATAACTTAACTAACATCCTACTTTGAAATAAAAGAGTAGATGATAGATAAATCTCCAAGTTGCAGATCCTCAATCTCGAGACTTGAATTTTTACAACCTAAAAAATAAAATAAGGTGGGTCAAAACCCACGAACAAGTTCCCTCTAATAAGCCCTTGAAAACCAATGAATAATACATCTTGTTAAATGCTAATTGACTCTAGAGGGAAGGTGAATAGAGTCAATGGCCAATTTTTAAATTTGCAACTTTAACTACTAAATAACAATTATGCAAAAATCAATTAAAGTATATAAATAATTCAAAACATAAATGTAAGAGAGATAGGGATAAGAGATTGCAAACAATGACTCGGAAATTTTAGCGAGATTCGGAAACTCCTACTCCTCGGCTCAAGATCCCTCTTGAGACTTCCTAATCCATTAGAGGTTCTCCTTAATGGTGGGGAGCAAACCTTCACAGGAAACAAGTCCTTATTTCTCTTTTGTGCTAGGCGAATTCCCTTCTCCTAGGCTTCTTTTGGGTCATACTAACCCTTACAAGTTTGTAGGAAAAATTGTAATTGAAATACAAGATTGAATCTCTCTCAAGATAGATGTACAAGTGTAAGCTCACAACTAGAGTAAATATATGAATGAAATGAAGCTCAAATTTCTAAGATGATATGAGAGAACAAGAGATATGAAATGAATGATCAAATAATGGCCTTGAATACTCTAGAATGAAACTTTTGAATACTCTTCAAATTGCTCTCAATAGGTGTGTATAATAACACAAGCTGCAACTCCTATTTATAGAGAGAGGAGGTCAATATAGCTGTTGGAGGTCAATATAGCTGTTGGAGATGAGATGTGAATAGTCCAAGTTCGCAGGTAGCTGTTTGATTCAAAGTTGACTTTGTGTCGGTCGGCTAATGGAGTATCATCAGTCAGCTGAAAGCCCCTCGTCAGTCGGCTGATCCCCAATCGTCGGTCGGCCGAAACGATGGTTGAAATGCACTACTCTCGGCTTTTCATGAAATCTTCTTCTCGGTCGGCTAATGACTCTTCTTCGGTCGGCTGATGCATATATATAACCCTTATCATTCGGCTGAACCTTCATGTTCAGTCGGCCGAAACGTCTTTTGGCCAAACCAAACTCACAGTTTTCTTTGTTAACCGATTGGTGCTTCAATTCAGTTGGCCGATGGATCTTTGAACGTGAACCTCCATCCTCCTCCTTTGTTTCTTAGGCTTCAAAGTTATATGGACAATATATGATGCTATTTAAATCATGATATGAGAAAAGAATAATCCTAAGATGTGAGCTTCATAGAATTCATAAATTACTTTGACATCTAAATCTAAGGCGCTCACCAAACATATCTACCCCATTTGACACACTAGTCTTGTTTGTTTTTCATCTTCG